AGAAAAATAATATTTTAACGTAATGTTATTCTACATAATCAAAATGAATACAAAACAAGAAGAAAAACCAAAACCGTGATGAACAAAGTACCAAAAGTTTAAATAAAAGTAGGATCCTCCGGGGACAACAAGAAATACGTAAGGGTCTACTTCCCAGACAAGGCGAGGAGGCCAGGGCCAGGCCTCAGAGCCAGTCTCAGGGCCAACACGCCAGCCCTGAGTGTTGTCTCACGGCAGTTATTCCCAGGGGGCCGGGCCCAAGGTCGCTGCACCCCCTCGAAGGGTCCTGGACTCCCAGCACGAGGGCGATTCCAGGGATCCCCCCGGTCCCAGCACTTGAATCATCGACGGTGATGAACCAGTGTGGGTTTCGTTTCTCAACTTCCAATCCATCACGGGTTGATACTTTTGTAAAACACAATAAAAAGTAAATTTCTAGAAAGATGATGTGGAAAAAAGGATACCAAACACAAGCCAACTTTTTAATTACCATATTCCATTCTAATAGTACATGTCGTATCATCATATGCAACAGATCATTACTCGCTCACATGGCTGCCATGTGTCTAAATGCCTGCTCTAAATTTTTGTACTTCCTAGATCATTAACAGCCCATGCCCGGCCAGGACATGACATGCCCGGTCATGTCGTACTGAGTAACACAGATCTGGCCCCGCCCCCCTTCCAGAAAGCAAGGGGACCAAGCACTGGGGACCGTAGGGTCTGCTTCTGCACCCCCCTCACCATCCCCACCCCATGGGGCCGAGCACATTCCCATCTCTCTTCACAACAAATTGTTGGTTCTCAGTCTGAGTGAGCACCCAGCCTGCTGTCCCGGTGACGGAAGCAGGATGACTGGTCCCCGGGGACGATCAAGAACACAGAGAACTGAGAACGAAGGGAAATCGGCTGTCCTCCTTCCCCGCACTCTCGCCTTCCTCCCTCCTTGTCCAGACCTTATTGGCTGATTCCAGAAGCCCTTCCAAGGCACCAGAGCCAGGATCCATGTCCTGCCCCTTTATGATCTCAGGGGCACGGTGGCTTCTCCTCTGTCACCCCACACCTGGGGCTGCCGCGCAGTTTCCCCGGGCTCAGCGTGCCTCTCGAGGGACATCCAAAACCTCCCCTTCCCTTGTTCAGCAGCAAGCATCCTCGGGGCTCCCTCTTAGGGGGATCAGATGCCAACAAGGGGCCAGTCATTAATGGGCACGAAAATACTACAAATAATGACAGCCACATACACTGAGCCCTGACACGAACAGGCGAGGTGCCAAATGCTTTTAATGATGATCCGATTCCAACCTCATGACTGTAAGATGGGTATTATTATCAATCCCGGGTTACAGATGGGAAAACTGAGGCTCGCAGGGTTAAGTCCCTTGCCCGAAGGCTCAGAGCCCTGAGTGCCAGAACAGGAGTCCCACTCCTCATGTGTGGGGTCTCTTCCCAGGGCAAAGACGGATGGGGTCAACAGGGAGAAACCCAGGTGGGAAAGACGATGCGTGCCTCACCTGGGTGGATGCATCTCCTGGGTGGAGCCCCAGTGGTCATCCCTGGCTCTCCTGATGGCCCTTCTGTCACTGGGGGTAGGGGCCACCCCATTCCTGCTCCGCTGGGCACCAGCCGAAAGATGGAGGTGTTCCCGTCAGTGGACCGTCCCCGGCATGAAGGAAGGGTACGCAAAAGAACACGAGAAAGGCAGACAAGGCAAGTGCCAGACTCGGAAATGCACGCCAGGAACTCAGACTTCCCTGGGAGCAGGGAGCTATGAGTGGTTCCCCAGAAGGGAGGGGGTGTCACTAGGACTGCGTGTGGGGTTGCCTATGAAGCCGGGAGGGACTGAGCAGGAGACAGGACGGCAGGCTACCGCAACCATCCAGGCCCAGGGCAATGCCGTCTGAGCCAGGGAGAGCGGGCAGGGACGGGAGGAGACGGTGGAGGCCAGGCCCACTTCCGGAAAGCGGCAGGTCCTAAGGCTGAGAGCCAGATAAGCAACGGTGCCATCTCGCTGGTCCTCCCACACCCCTTCAGCCCTTCCCGGCTTGTTTCCTAAACCTAACAGGAGTGCAAATCGCCTTCGAAAATCACACTGCCCAGTTCAAGCTCCCTGATGAGGGCTCCAGGGGCTTATCCCCTCAGCGAACACAGCTCTGATGCTGAGAAAGTTACTTGAGCCATCATCTAGTATACGGGTTGGGACACTGAGAATTCAAACCCCTTTTCTGGTGCTCAGACCGCCAGCCCCAGGCCTTCACCCCCTCCTCGCTGGCCGGCCTCCTGATGTCATAGTGAGTCTGTTAGGGTGCGTCCTCAGTAAGAATGTGACAGGTGGAGCCCTGTTGGGAAATGACAGGGGGGCGGGGAGGGTGTCCGAAAGCCTCACACGTCCCCGGCCACGCGAGGGAGGGGCGGGAAGGCCAAGGACAGGACACGGAGGGGCGGGGCTTCTCTCTAAAGATGGGGCTTAGTGGCCCATTTTAGACATTAGGAAACTGAGGCCACGGAGACTAAGCAGCGGGTGACACCGAGGCAAGAGCCCAAACCAGGGCCGAGTTCCGGTTCTTTCAAGCCCTAGAGAACCATCCTCTGCTTTGGAATTGTGTTGTCCATCCAGCCCTGTTGACTTTCTCAGAGATCCCTTTCTCCTGGAAGGTGTCTCCTCAAATTTACGATTTAAACACGGAGGCCGACACGGGAGCCCACGAGGCCCAGGTAGAGGGGGAGTGACTCTGAGACGCTGCTTCCGGAATCCACAGACAGAGCTAGACCCCAGGCTCACTTCTTTCAGATTTATGACCTCTGTCCTCTGCGGGCACCAGGGAGGGCCTGGGACAGCCCACGTGCCCCCCGCCTCCCCCACCAGCGGCTCTCACATCCCCAGGCTCAGCGAGTTTCGTCTGCTGGTGAACCAAGGGGAGGGCCTGCCCCGCGTTTTGGGGCCTCTCCAGAAAGACCAGAAGGGGGGGGGTGCATGGCAGCCTCTGGGAGAGGGGCGCCAGCCTGAGGCAGTGGGGGGCTCTCAGGAAACCCTTACCCAGACCTGACGAGGGAGACACGGGGCCCGGCACGTGGCAGACAAAAAATGTGTCACCGGTGAGAAAAACTGACAGACAGTGGAAAAAGAAAGGCCTTCTCGGTTTCCACAGGAGCAGGGCCGGGTAGCAGGAATTTTGAAGGGGTGATTCTGTGGGCTGCCAACTAAGATTCATTCACGAGGGAATTCCTGAAACAGGACTTTGCGGCCCAGGAAACGGGGAGTTTGTGGTAAACCCGGAGACGGTTGGGACTCAGAGAGACTCAAGGCGGCATCCGTCCCCACCTGATATCTGAATTCTCCCCACGTCACCCTCAACAAGTGCCACCCGCAAATCACAGCACACACTCCTTCTCTCCCCTGCTCACAAGTGCCCACTGCCCTCGACCCGGGGGTAGCGGGTCCAGCTGAAAGCCACTGTCTGGGGGGCTGGGGGGGGGGGTTGAGGGCTATCTGACAGGTATGCACCCCACTGTCTGGGGGGGTAAGGGCGATCCAACAGGTAACTGGAAATGACAACACCTATGACAGGACCCACCCTGAAAGGTCTGACTTTCTCTGGAGAGTCAGGTAAGGCCCCTCCTGAGCACTTGGCTCAAGCTGGAGAATGAGCCAAGAATGAGAATGAGAATGTGCGACTTAGACAAAAGGAGGGCGTGTGGGGGTGGGGAGCGGGTGTGCGCGCACGTGCGGGGGCGAGCACGCGGGCACGGGCGTGTGAGGATGGATGCGTGTGTGTGTGTGAAGGGAAACGGGTGTGTGCGTGCAAGAGAGGGTTGAAGAACTCCGTGTGGGTGCGTGTGTGTGTGTGTTCACACGGACGTGTGTGTGAACGAGCACGAGTGATACGCACGGGCAGGCACGTGTGTTCGTGTGAACATACAGATGCGCACCTTGCGTGTACGTGGAGCGTGAGGCTACACGTAAATGTGCGTGAGCGTGTGTCTATGAATATGTGAGTGTGTGTGTGTGTGTGTCCATGTGTGCTCGTGCAGGGGTGAGTGTGCACAACATATTTTTGTGTGCGAATGTGTTCACGTGTATGTGAGTGTGAGTTTCCGCATGCACGGGTGTGAGCATGTTTGCACGATTGTGTACACACGTGGGGGAGTCTGGGCATGTCCCTACGGGTGTATTTGCGTGTGTGTCTGTGTCTGCACGTGTCTCAGTGTTTCTATGCACATGCATGTGTGGGCACGTTCCTGTGCGTGCCCGTACTTTGTGTGGATGGGTGTGTGTGTGTGTGTGTGTGTGCGTCTGTGTATGTGGTGTGGACACGTTCCTGCGTGTGAGCGTGCTTACGAATGCACGTGTGTGCCCATCCATGTGGGCCAGCAGGGATTGTTCGCAGAAGGACAAGAACAGCCGGTGTCGGGGGAGCACGGAGAGCAAGTCCCGTAGCACGAGATGCCACCGGGCCTTGATGGCCAAGTCCACCACCACAGTCTTCGTGTAAAGCCTGAGACAGCTGAGCAGGTGTGTGACATGTGACATCTGCATGTGAGAATGAGCTTCTCCGATTGCTTGCAGGGGCCTAGGCTGTGAGAGGGGAAGTCACGTTCTCGGAGGGACAGTCTGGAGCTTTGGCAGTCATCTGACGGGGCCCTCCCCACCGTGGGCTGTACCCAGAAGTACATAAACATCACCACAACCTCCGGCTTCTTCTTCTTTTTTTTTTTTTTAAGTTTATTTATTTATTTTTTTTTGAGAGAGACAGAGCATGTGCACGAGGAGCCAGGGAAGGGGCACAGAGAGAGAGGGAGAGGATCCCAAGCGAGCTCTGTGCAGTCAGCGAAGAGCTCAACGCGGGGCTCGATCTCATGAACCCAAGATCATGACCTGAGCTGAAATCAAGAGTCGGGTGCCTAACCGACTGAGCCACCCAGGCGCCCCCCCCCCCCCAACTGCTTCCACCTTGTATCTCAAAGTCTATTGGTTGTTTTTTTCCTAGTTAAGTGGTCCCGGTTCCCCAGCTGCCCTAGGACCGTCCCTCCTAAATAGGCTGCAGCATCCGCAAACTTCTCGCGGCGGCACCCCTGATCCTGTAGCCTGGATTCTGGACCTCATATTTCTGTTAATCCAGCCTGGGCTCAAATGGAGGCCACTCTTCGCGGCTGACGTGGTCCTGTGTTCCAGTCCAAGAGCCCGGTCGTCCTCCCACGGGGCTTCTGAGTCTCTCATGGAGCAGCTGAGCAGAGCCCAAAACTAGCTGGAAGACAGAAGGCATAGAAGATACCAAGAGCCCATACAAGGCAAGGGGCTGATGCATAAGCTATGGACTAGAGTTCACATCTACATGGTTTAAATCTACAGAGAGGATCAAGAGGCTAATGACTTCATCTGTCTGTTTCCTTTCTGTAAATAGGGCAAACAGGGCTGTGGCGAGGAGAAATATACACAAACCAGCTAGCATGGGTTCCGGTGTTTGGCTCACGCTGCGATAGGTAGCCTCCAGACGACCCCCAGTGGTTCGCACCTCCTGGCTGATTCACAGCCTTGTGGAGTCCTTCGCCTTCCCACCGAACACAGATATCGTGGAAATGTCACCGGTGCCATGCTGCGGATACGGATGTGACATCCAAGTCCGGGTCATAGGATACATGGAGCTTCTGACTCCTCTCTCCCCCCCCACCACTTGCTCTGAGAGAAGCTGGCCGCCATGTTGTGAGGACACCCAGGCAGCCACGTGGAGAGGTCCAGGAACTGGGAGAAGGAAGAGGAAGGAACTGAGGGCCCCCTGCCAACAGCCAGCGCCAGCCCACCGGCCACCCGTGTGGAGCCGACTTGGAGGACAATCCTCCAGCCCCAGACCAACCTTCAAATGACAGCAGCACCAGGTGACATCTGAATGTGCCCTGATGGGAGACCCCAAGCCAGAAGCACTCTGCGCAGCCACTCCCAAATTCCTGACCCGCAGACACTGTTGGAGTCACTGTGTATTGCTGTTTCAAACCACTAGATTTGGGGGTAATCTGTTACACAGTAATAGACGATCAATGCAGCTCTACACAGCAACTATTGTTTGAGGCCATTTATTTGAGGAGAGGTGGTTACGAGCCTCTGGTCACTGCTCAGCCTATTTAGGTAGTCCAAAGCTCCCAGATGAGAACAAGAAAGGCCGTTCGGCGGGAGCATGAGGCTGGGGTGGGGGGAAGCGGGGGGCGGAGAGGGTGCAGCTGAGACATGGCTATCTAAGTGCCCCTGCACAGGAAGGAGAATAATGGCATTGAATGAGCTACGAGTGTTCCAGAAGATAAGCAGAGAAATGCTTCCAGTGTATGCCCAGTCAATTATAACCTATGGACAGCAGGTGCAAAAAGTAGAGTGATATTTTTAAAATAATAATTTCCCAGACTTGGCGCCGTGTTCACGAGACCCGGCCAGCTATCCAGAGCATGGTTCCCACAAAGGACAGACAAATCCCACAGGATGTTACGATTTTACCCCTAAAGGACCACTTGGGAAATGGAAGCGTCTGAATATTGGTTCTGAGCCAAGGTAAGACTGGACTCCAGGGTCCTGCGATTCAACGCACGGCCTCGGGTTTGGGGCGGGGATGGCAGAAGGACCCCGGTACTGACATGGACTGCCCGTCTCTAAGCCCAGATTTCTTCACACACAGGACTGGGGTATCAGCACTGCCTTAAACATCACTGGACTGTGAAGATTAAAGTCGGTGAGGCATATAAACGTGTGCCTTGCAAATCGTAAAGTGCCTACAAACAGGGGTGCCTGAGTGGCTCAATCACTTAAGCATCTGACTCTTGATTTCAGCTCAGGTCATGATCTCACGGTTTGTGGGTTTGAGCCCCACAGTGGGCTCTGGGCTGACAGCACAGAGCCTGCTTGGGATTCTCTCTCTCCTTCTCTCTCTCTCTCTCTGCTCCTCCCCTGCTTGTGCTCTGTCTCTCTCAAAATAAATAAATAAACTTAAAGGGGGGGGGGCACCTGGGTGGCTCAGTCGGGTAAGCATTCGACTTTGGCTCAGGTCATGAGCTCACAGTTCATGGGTTCGAGCCCCACATCAGGCCCTGTGCTGACAGCTCAGAGCCTGGAACCTGCTTCAGATTCTGTGTCTCCGTCTCTCTCTCTCTGCCCCTCCCCTGCTCACACTCTTTCTCTCTCAAAAATAAATAAACATAATTTTTTTAATAAAAGAAAGAAAAATACCTACAAAGAAATGTAGAGGGCCTTTTTTTTTTTCATAAGGCACTAACTGTCTCAGGGACAACAGTGAAGACTGAAATAGAAGACAAGACACCAGGAACAGGGCAAAGCCAGAGACTCCATGCCCTTACCAGAATCCAAGGACCTAGATTCTGTTCCCAGCCGCAGAATCTGCCAGCGGTGTGACCCTAAGCAAGTCATTTTCCTTGATTGTGAAACAAGGAAGTGGAGCTGAAATGTCTCCAACGGCCCTTCTAATCCAATGTCTATTATATACCTAGGGGATCCAACAACATGATTAACAAGACTAAACTAACAGATACTGAGTTTTGTGCCCCACAAGCAGAAAATATACCTTTTTCTCAGGTTGGTGATGGAGCATTGACAAAATCTTACCACATACATGTCCAAAAAGATGAACTTTTTAAATTACAAAGAGCAGAAATTATACAAGCCATTTTCCAAACCACAAAATCCAACAAAAGCTACACTGGAATGACAAAAAATCTGAAGATGATAGATAGATAGATAGATAGATAGATAATAGAGAGACACAGAGAGAGAGAGAGAGAAAGAGAGAGAGAGAATAGACAGACAGGTGATAAGATAGATATCAATAAACAAGAGCCTATTTGAAAACTAAAATATTCTTCCTATTGAGTTTAGAAAATGAATAATACAACAGAAAATTAGAATATGACTTGTCGAAACTCATCACATACCATCAAAGCTCTATTTGGAGGTAAATTCATTAATATAAAGATGTCTTCATTATTAAAATAAAACACTACAGTTTCCCCTTCTGCAACGAAGCATGAATAACTCCATGGACCACTCCCTACTGAGATAAGCGAAGCTGGCAAAAACTATTTCTAAAAAACAAAACAAAACAAAACAAAAAACAGAACCATTTAAAGTTTCTGGGAACGGTCCTAAGAGCATATGACAAATGAGGAAACATCTGTTCGGCAACATCTAGAACCGCAAGAACATTCTAGAACATCTAGAACAGCAAGAATCTAGCACATCTTGGCCACAAGAACATTTCTCTCCCCCCTCTCGGGCTCAGCTGTACAGAAACTTCCCCTGGGGGAGGGGGTGCAGCCAAAGAAGTCAGGGCTCCCTGTCCCCCCATCAGCTGGGAAAGACAGGCCACCAGCATTTTCATGCCCTCCAACTCCAAGTCGAAAAGGCTAAATTCCTGGGGAGTGTGGCAGAGAGGTCGAGGCTACCTTCCTCCTAGCCACCTCAGGCAGAGCAGGCCAGGAAGATGGGGCCCCCAGCTCCCCTCCTCCCAGCGGGCTCCTAAGGCACTGTATCCATGGGAGAGACAAGCTCAGAAGCCCAGAAGCACCCAGGGCTAGAGCTCAGAGTTTGCCCAGGAAGAAGGCAGTGCCTGAGAAAGGAGAGCTCCAAGGAACCGACTGTATTTAAAACAGAATGTGGGGAAGTTCAAGCCCAAGGACACTCCTGAAAACAAGAGCCCCTCTTAATTTAGAGCAACCAGCTAAACCAAAAGCTAGCTGGTCCACCAGAGAGAAACAAGGAAAGAGACAGCCAAGAAGTGTCCTCCTGGACTCCAAACAAGCCTCGAAGACTGCCTGAACTTAACTGGATCAGACCAGGGAACAATTTATGCCCCAGGACATTTTGAAAACAATTGAGCAATCAGCCGGTGATTAGTGGAAACGGGCTGGGTCCAGCACCAAAGGAAGCAGACAACTTCACAAAGAGATCAGGAACAGACACCAAGAGGGCGAAGACCCTGCCATCCCAGGGTGGAGGGGCTCTGCCCAAGAACGTACTCTCAGAGGTTAAAGAATGTTCCAAAATGGATCATGGTGATGGATGCACAGTTTGGGGAATATACTAAAAACCACTGAGTTGTATACTTCGAATGAATGAACTCATGATGAGTGAAGTACATCTCAACAAAATTATTAACAGAAATAGGCAAAGAGTGCGCTTATCTTGATGAGCACCAAGAAATGTCTAAACCTGTTGAATCATTCTATCATACACCTGAAATGAATGTATCACTGTATCTTAATTATACTTGAATAAAAATATTTTTTAACAAAATAAACTTTAAGGGGAGCCTGGGTGGCTCAGCCGGTGAAGCGTCTGGCTTCGGCTCAGGTCATGATCTCACGGTCCGTGAGTTCGAGCCCCACGTCGGGCCCTGTGCTGACAGCTTGGAGCCTGGAGCCTGCTTCAGATTCTGTGTCTCCCTCTCTCTCTCTGCCCCTCTCCCGCTCACGTTCTGTCTCTCCAAAATAAATAAATGTTAAAAAGATAAATAAAATAAAATAAAATAAACTGAAAGATACAGAAGATAAATTACTTACATAGTCCTCTCTGTATTATTTCAAAGAATCCAGTCTTAAGAAAAGATGATGGAATTAATGAATAATTTACTTTTTGGACAGCTTGCTACTCTTGGTGGGGTTTTGGAATGGCGGGAGTTGGGAGCCGAAGGCCAAGAAGGAATTCTTGAGATCTTTGGTGCAAAAAAAGGTGATTTTATTAAAGCACGGGGACGGGACCCGTGGGCAGAAAGAGCTGCCCTGGGGCTATGAAGAGTGACTGGTTACATACTATGAAGTTGGGGAGGTAAAGTCAAAAGGGAGGCCTCCAGAGAGACTTGGATATGCTAAAGAGGACTCCTAAGATATCTGAGACCTTGCTGTCGTCAAGCCAAGGTTGTTTTTCCTCTAATAAGGCATTAGCATTATGACAGTAGGATGTTCCTGGAGAACCCCCTGTATTGGCCTCAAGTATTTGTCAATGGGCTGCAGGTTATAAGGAAATTTTTTTTTCTTTTTTTTTTTTTTCTTCTT